GGACTCCAACTCCCAGAACTTCCCCAGCCAGCCATGCTGGCTGGGGAATTCTGGGAGTTGGATTCCACACATCTTAAAGTTGCCAAGGTTAAAAAACACCATCAAAGAGTTATTAAATTTGCAAAGAAATGTGTGTATGTGTGTGTGTACACATTTGAGCTCTGCTGGAAGGTTTGCCTCCTTGTTTTTCACCCTTCAGGATTGGTACCAAGATCAGCAAATTTCTCCAGAATCTGGTGAATCTTCTTTCTCAGGGTTAAGCGTAGCTGGTACATAGAAAGCTGCCACAGAAAAACTCCTAAGGGGAGGGAAGAAGAGGAGCGGGGTGGAAGAGAAGATCATTCTGAGTAGGGCTGAGTGTGGTTTGAAAAAGATTCAGAAGTGTTCCAAACCTTATGTGAGCACAGCATCTCTGTGTTTCATTAAAGCAGCCTGTCTTTGGGGGGGGGGAGGAGTGCTTCTGCTTTTGTGGTCTCTGACCATAAATCAATAAAGTAAGCAAATGGTGCTGCTTCAAGGAATCCAATCACTGAACTTAACGCAACTCTGAAAACAATGGCACCTTTTTCCAGGTTCATGTAGAAGCCTGAAAAAAAAACCAGGCTGCTTTAATAAGAGAGAGGTGCTGCATTCATGGCAGCTCTGAAGCACTTCTGAATAACTTTTGATTTGTGCATAGCCTTTATTCCTTGTAGGTGGAGTTCTGATTTCAGTATGACCACTGTGAGCTAAGTGCTGGAGGAAAAATGGCCTTTTCTCCTCTCCAGCAAGACATCTATCCCTTTAACACAGGCATGCAACTGAGAACCCATAAGCTAAATTCATTTTCAGTAGAAAAGTTTTTGCCAGTTGATGGTGGTGAGGAGGGGCGAAATTAAGAATGATGACAGAACATTAAACATCTACTTGGCTTCATAGTGTGATATAGTGGTTAAGGTTCTGGTCTGAGACCTTTAGAAAAAAGGGGTCAGGTGGGCAAAAAATATGGTGGGGATCAATGAAGGCATCTGATTTGAGACTGATGTCTGCAGAAACTAAGTTGTCAACCCCTCTTTTACTATGTCGTGGGAACAGAACCAATTTTTTATTCAGTGAACTGTTTAAAAATAGCATGGGTTGATGCTATATTTGAATCCATTCATTTTAATGGATGCAGTGGACTGAGGCCACAAGATTTAAGACAAGATTAAGAGTGGAGTCTTCCAAGTTACTTCAGCTTCCAGCATCCCTCACTAGTAAGCAGTTGATTGCAGCTGCCAGAAGATGTAATGCAGTAACGTAAGGTACACCACAACTTTCCTACCTCTGGTTATGGAGAACAGCCCACTTTAGCAATGCATTTCTAGAGATGATCAGTGGGGGATTAGGGCCTGAAGGCAGATTGTATCCACAGTCCAAACTCAGTTGCGATCCCCACCCAAGTTTCTTCATGCTCACCTTTCCACTGCTTACTCTTAATGGTTCTCAACTGGCTAATAACGTCCGATTTGATCGCCATCGCACCTCGGACATCTGCAAAGAGACATTCACAGGTGTCACTCTGTTATCTTGACCTAATCTCAATCCTTCCCAACCGCGATGATGGCTCTCCTTCTGCTCACACCTAGCACTCGCTCGTAATTCCTCCGAAGGAAGGTGCCATGCAGATCTGCCAAGGCCTGGATGTGCCGTGCCATCAGGGAATCACGGTTTGGAAGGTCTGCTGGCAGTGTCTCCTTCAGCAGAGTTGCCACTGATTTCAAGAAACGGGGGTCACACTGAAGGCAGCTGGCCGCTCTCTGGAGGAATAAGAGCCATAGGAGGAAAGCCAGCAGGAACTGGAGCACCATGACACAGCAAACAGTTTACAGGACTGCAAAATGTAACCAAGGCAACCTCTTCCCTGAAGTCCGGAATCACAGGATGATGGCTACCTCCACAACACAGGGAAATGTTGCCAGGGAGAGAGAACAAATCACTAGGTGGTGGGTGTGAGCATTTGTGATGCTAGGAATAGAACAGGAAGTGATGTTAGAAGCTGTTGAAGTAAGGGCATTGCTGGTGATGGTTTTGCACAGGAAATGCTGTTTTTTGTTTCTGGTTCTCATGGCTACAGCATCTCTGCTTGGGTTACTTCTCTGGGCTGTCCCTGTACAACTGGCTGGTACCTGCCTCCGTTGCTGGCCAGATGCTGGTGCATATTTTATTTACGATGCATCCTTGCTGCTGGGACAGAATTCAACAGCCTCTGATCAGCTGGAGACACTTTTCCTGGGAGATGTCAAAGAGCTTGCTTCATACGGCCAAGGATTTTTGGGTATACAGAATTAAGGGAAGGGAAAAGTTGAACACAGTCCCCTCTGATAGGAACTTCTTATGAATGTGAAATGCCCATTTCTGAATCACAGACTGTACCTAGCTGAGACACAGTTTCTGATGTCTGTTTTGTGCTAGAGGCTGCGAGAGAAAACCTGGAGGCTGAGAAATGTATGAATGAATGAATGAATGAATGAATGAATGAATGATCGATCTTTAGTACAGGTCACATACCCACAAAACTACCTGAGGTTTAAACATTTTAATTATTTTATTGGGTGGTTGTGATATAGAAATTGAGGTTGGAAAAAATCTGCTACAGCTAAAAATGTGTTTTGGAAAATTATGCCATCTAAAACATCAATTATAACAGAAGATACGAAAATAATAACATCTTAATGCATCAGAAAGCACTTCTGCATTTTTATCATACTCAGCTTGTTGGATTATTGTTGTTCAGGACAAATGCATCAAAACATAGGCTGTTCACAGTAGTTATCTAAGCTTTGGCAGGAAAATTTATGTTGCCATTAAATGTTCATAATGGGTTGATTACAGATTTCATTGGAGTAGACAAATTGATATCAGGCCTTAGCTGTGACTTACTAAACCTGGACTGAATGTATTAACAGAACACATTACGTGGACGAGAGTCAATATCAGCAATCAATCATCTACAGAACACAATAGAGAAAGAATCAGGATTACATAGGACAGCACAAATACTAAAAATGTCAAAAAGGTCATCCAGCAGAATCAGTCACATCATAGTAAGCTAGTTTATATAAGACTTCCACCCAATCAGGAATTCCAGACAGAGGCCAGCCTGAATTTGAGGAAGCTGTTGGTGATTTCATTAAACATGTGTGTGACTGAAAAAAACAACAACAAATACTCCAGTTTTTAAAATCATAACACAAAATCTGTTTGTTAATACACTCCCATGAAGGATGCAGGCAGGGAATGTTTCACAAGGAACATTACTGTATGCATATTCCAGATGTTCCAAAACGCATTCTTTGAATTTAGCAAAAAACCAAAAACAAACCCCCGACAGCTTCTCATGTGCCCTGGTTGATCCGGGCGTGTCATAGAAAATATCCAGAAACTTTCAACAATGCTCAAGATTACAGGGACCCTTTGCAGACAAATCAACCAGAAAAAGATCTCTCAGTTCAATATATAGTCCTACATGGATGCAAATTGTCTTTCTGTTCTTTTAGCTCTAGCTTTAGCATGAGCAAATAATATATAAGCTAAATGACCTTCACCAGCTTGGCATCCTCTGAATGTGTTTGGCCATGTTGGCTGGGAATTCTAGGCATTGCAATCCTAGCACTTTTTAAGAATGCTAAGTTGGGAAAGGCTCCATTACGTAGCAGGATAAGTTCTAAATTCGTCCTGCTAAACTTTGACAGAGTGGAAGAGTGCACTTAGAAGAACTGATAAAACAAGTTTCCACAAACATTATCTTGTGTGTCTGTCTGTCCACAGAACGGGAACATATGGAGCGTGAGGCTGGGAATCTGTTTCATCATCTTGAACAAATTGTACAGAAAAGTCAAAAAAGTAGGAACTGAATTACCCCTTTCCTTCTACGGATTTGCTTGTGATCTCATTTTATTATACTACCTCCTAACATGTTCTGTCAAGAAATTTGTCACTGTTTCAAGAACATTAATTTGATATTTCATAACAATTTTGTTGAATCAGAAGTGTGTGGACTCAGCCTGTGTGCAGCTATCCCCAGGTCCCTCAGATCGTGTAACTAAACTACAGTGACAAAATGGCTGAATTGGCCCTGCCATTTTGGCCTGGTTTTCAACATTTGAGATGCTTTTAAAGGAATGGGAATAGATTGCCACTGGGAGATCTCCTACTGCCATCCCTACTCTTAAATCCTATTCTAAAAGGTCTACATATTTTGGCTACACCCATTCTGGTGATATCGCTGAATGTCCCTCTTCAGTCTCTCAAAAAGTCGAGATGCCTAGTTGTGGCTTCCAACCCTCAAATGTTATCCACCCTTAATTAAACCCATACATAGTCTTAGGTTTTTGGTGGGCAAGATTTTAGCTATATGAACTGGTGCAATTAAGAATTCCAGGTGAGAATTTTAGATGTTCTAGAACATTATGAAATCCAGAATCTAATTCCATAACTACTCTTGTTTATTCTAAGCCAAATTTCAATTAATTACCTCCTATTAAAGGAAATTTACTTGTGAAAAACCAAATTGTCCTTTCAAGAAGCTGTAATAAGCCCTTGTAGAATACTTGATTTAATCATAGTTATTTGCACTACCTTCTCACAGCCTGAAATTGTCCCAACTCATCAGCACCTGAAACTATGACCAACCGTTTAAGTCTATATTATTCTTCCTCCATACCTCAAAAGTCTTGGCCTCTGTTGTCTCCCTTCTCTTTACCAAAAGATCATGAAGAACTGATGAAGGAGGCAGAGTTGGAACAAAAGGATTTTATCAAGCGTTTGGAAGAAGCATCTGATCTTTTTGTAAAGGAAAGTATGTACCTCTTCTCTCTCCCTCTCCCGGATTCTTCCATTTCTGTTCATTCCAAAAGTGGTTTCATGCTGAGCCAGATCATGGATCCTTCTAGTACAAAACTCTCTCTGCTTGTTGGCAGCTTTTAAACATTAGTCAAGCTACAAGATATGGCCTTCAAAAATCCAGATGACTATGAGATGGGTAAAGCAGCTCTCTTACGATATCAGTTCTTTGCACCAACTCACCTCTGAGGAAATTGTTTTTTAAGCTTTTGCAGAATTAAAACACACATTTGTGCTTCTTGGTAGGATACTCAGCTGAAGCACTCAGTTGAGTTGTTCCAGATGTAATTGTTGCTTTTGAAGCTCCAGGATAGTTTGCACCTCTGGAGGAATTATCTGTGGTTCCAAGGCCAGCACCTCTTCTTAGTAGGATATTGATCAATAAACAGAATTGCTTTTAATTTTGTGGTTGTGTTGGTCTTCTACTGTCATTATATGTACTTGTGTTTTTTACTCATTTGAATACCAAAATGATTTTTTAAAATATAACAATAGATGGCAGCAGTGTTTTCAGTGCCTTTCTGCTGCCGTCTAGTGGCCATTTGGAATGTGGCAGCTCAGATCTGGTAGCCTTACACAGTTCCCCCCTTCCCCCTTCAGCCTGGGACCTCAGATCTTTTCCAGCTGTGATGCCAACAATACAAAAAAATTGCCTGAGCTCACAGGTAACTGCTTGGAAATAGTCTCTTTTGTGGCAGTTCTGGCTGACTTCATGGACACATGAAGGAGAATTTTTGAGTCCTCCAGTTCTTTGGGTGTTGTTTTTTTTTAATGTGTAAATTGGACTGGAGCTGATCAACCCTTGAAAAATTGGATTGTCCTTTATAAACCTGGACATGTAGCCACTGCACAGAAGGAACAGATTTTTTTTTTAATGATACAATGCAGCTAATTTTAAAAAGCCTCCATCCCTGAAAGGATCAAATTAGAAGTTATAACCAGAGAAATGCAGCCTTACCTCACCAATCTTTTTGGAACAGAAACAGCTCCTTCTGGAGGAATGAATGGGATTTGAGAAACAATACTTGCCCTTAAGGGTGTTGATTAAACTTTTTTGATGACAACTCTCTGCTCTGAATCAAGAAGCCACATATGCTGTACATGACTTGTGAAACAGCCTTTTTCCATGCTTCCAGAGTCTGTCTAGAACTATAAATACAAAGCCAGTTGTTCAGGGAAATTAAAATAGAAGCTACATGTGTGAATGCGTATATGAGATGGTACCCCCTTAGAAGAGTTGGCAGCAGCCTATATAGAGTAACAGAACGTGCCAACAGAGACAACTTAGTGTCCACTAGAAGTGGACTGGGGAGGAGAATAACCTTTTACATGAGATAAGGGTGAGGAACTGAATTTGTGACCAAGAGAGAAAAAGTTGCTGGAGCTCATTCTCTAATGCTCATCCCTTCTTTCTGTTTTATATCTTCACAGTCTGCAGTTTTTCCTGTGGTGAGTCCATCTGCCTAAACAGTTCAGATACGCATCTGCTTGGTCCAAGGACCCCATTTCAGAAGAAGTTCTCAGTGTTCCCGTGTGTGAATCTGTGCCTATTCGAAATGGTGGGGTGCATCTGCTCCTTCTAACTACAAAATGGACTCTAGAGCAGGGCAGGCCAATCTCTCCAGCAGCCATCTCAATGCAGCTGAACTACAGCTTCCAGCATCTTCCTCAATTGCTCATGCTGAAGAGCTGAAATGCCACTACGGGTGGAAAATCACAGGTTGCTCTCCCTCCCTTGCTCTGGGGCTTGGACAAGAAAGCAGAGTCTGGGAAAACACATTTTAAATCAGTGTAACAGTGTTCCCTCCAATACCTCCAGATGCCTTGGACAATTCACATAAGCCCTGGTAGGCTCAGGCTAGCTGAGAATTAAGGGAGCTAATATCCAAGGCGTATGGAGAAAGGCTACAAATGTAGTGTCTGTACAGGATGATAGGGCTGAGCACTTAAGCCAGGTAGGTCAAAACCTGTTCTCCACCCCTTTAGTTGCAGTCTCTAGTGTTGAAATTTGTCAGCAAATCTACAAATAACAGCAGCACAATTTTCTGGTTTTTTCCCCCCTGAAAACTTGGCAAAATAGATGCCTGGATCCTCCAAGAATCTGAATGCACCTAATTCAATTTCTGGAACACTTGAACTTCAAAAAAGGAGGGCAAAGGGTCAAAAATTCCTGCTCTACCTATTTCAGGGAGGTTGTCATGTTACAGCTACCGTCCACTTGGCCTTTTAGCCTCTGAAACAACAAAGAAAAGGAAGTGTATTCCTTGGGCACAAAAATATTGTTCATTTTTAAATTCATGGGATAAGGATTCAAAGAGGGGATACAACAGCAATTCCAGATTGACCAGATCAAGTTAATTTTATCTAAGCTTCTAAAGGCAAAGTGGATAATGTGCTGATTAAATTCATTGGATGGGTGCAGACTTAAAGCAAGTCCATTGCAATCAGCAAAGCTTCACTTAGTAATTAAAACCCCATGATTTCACTGAGTTTATTCTAAATATGATTAAATCTAGGTCTAAAAAGTAATCAGCTTTGGACGTGATTTGGGTTCATTCAGATATAATACCAGACTATGTTTTTTCCCTACCCAACCACATTTAGGTTGGTTTCAGTTTCAGTCATGCAAACATCTCACTTGTGCTAATTTCCTCTGTGCTCACTACCCCTACGGTCCCTGTGTGTCACCCCAACTAGCTTCTTCAAAGGCTGGAAGAATGCCGTCTGTGGTTTGAATCTGAACATTTATCCAGGATCTGTCACATGCTGGGGTTCAGAAATTCCAATAACTGTTTCTGTTTGCAAAGCGTGGGTGTGCATTTCGTGTGCACTAAAGCATGACTCATGTTTTTGTCTAACTCAACCTTCTCCCAACAGATAGGGCAAGTCTGGCTGAGAACTTGGGGTGTTTTACTTTCTACAGGATGAGGGCGGCTGGTCTAACAGCATCTCCCCCATCACTTCCACAGGCCAATCTCGGTTCCGACCTTATGAAGTGGCCCAGTGCAGAAACTGCCAAATGCTCAAAGCCTCCTGCTATGACCTCAGAATATGTGCAGGTGATTGCCTTTTGCCAATTTTATCCCCCATTTCCTAACATTCCCATCTTCATCTCTCAATGCATCTGTTGAAACAAACTAAGAGCCAGAGTGTTTAATTTCCAGAACTAAAACTCATTGTGTGCCTCTCTTTGGTCAAGGCCTTTTCCTGTCATTCTGATCTGCCACAAGGTTGTGGTGCACACATAAAATACCCTGAGATCCAATAATAGTGGGCTAGACATTTAAAACCACATGAATCTCAGAATCTCTTTGCTGTGAAGAGGGGAATAGCGGCAATTGGAAGATATACCCACCTGACTTACTTGTGACCCATAAAAGTACTACATTAAAATGCACCGCTTTTAATCTCTGTGGTTATGGGGTAAAACCTGAGATATCACACTTTTGAGATGGCACAGAGAATGAAGTATGTCTGGATTCAAAAATCATCCTATTAAAACTAGTTAGGCAGCCTTGGACAGGTCACTCTTCAGCTTAAGTCTGTTTCACAAGGTTGTTGTGGAACTAATACAGATGTGGAGAGGAAAACTACACATGCTCCTTAGCACTCCTTGGTGGAATAGGATAAAAATTAAAACAAAGCTTCTCCTCCATCCCTCACCGATACATAGAATTATTTCTTTCTGGCCCCTTATCAAATGAAACTTAACTTAGTTCTTTGGCTTTTTCTTGCTCACTCCTAAGAAAAGAATGAAAATTGGATCAAGAACACATCCACCCCGCTTTTGGCGATGTGTAGAAAGTTCACCTCCTGCTTTCAGAATCACTGCCCTTCACTGAGTCAGGCAGAAGCACCCCTCTGAACACCCCACCTGGCTGCAATTCTGCTGAAAAACTCACGCCTGCGGTTCCACAAATTGCCCATAAAGAAATCTGCCGTGTCCTAATGCATGGGGAAAGGCCTACTGATCTGCATAATGTTAATGCTCTAGCCATGCTAGTGAGCTTCCTTACTGGAAAGGTTTCTAAAAATCAAGACTTAGAGACAGATTTATTCCATACAGTCACTCACTGAATGATGCTGGGGTTCTGTGTTGGTCTTTCCCTTTTCTGCAGGACCCAATATTGTTGCAGCAGTCTTGATAACACTTGCGATCTTGCTGGGGGCTATGGGAGCTGCCGTGTGGTGAGTTACTCAGTACAGTGCTTACAGAATCAAAGAATGACAGAGTTGGAAGGGTAACTTAGGCTATTGAATCCAATCTTTTGCTCAGCACAGGTACCCAAATCAGTGTGTCCTGAACAGATGTTTGGCTTGGACACATCAGCAAAGGGGAGCCCACTACCTCTCTGGGAAATTGGTTTCACTGTTAAACTGCTCTTGCCGTTTCCTGTGACATTGAGGAATTTGCTTTCCTGTAGCTTTAGTATTCAATTTTCATCCTCCTTTAAGAAATTCCAGGTATTTGAAGAGCCCCATCTTATCTCATCCCCGCCCCCCAAGTCTTCTCAAGGATAAACAAACCTGTCTCCCTCTATTTTTCCTTGTAGGACTTAAGTTTTCAGTTGCCTTCTCTGAACCCAGAGGTTCCAAAGCTTCTTAATGTGCAATGCCCAGATCTGGACTCCATTCTCCTTGGTGGGGTCTGACCAATACTTATCATTGTCTGCATTGTGTATGTGGGTAAATCAGTTTACCACAACTTGACAGCCTCCAGATGTTGGGAATGTTACACTTAGGTGTCAAGTTGGAAGAAGCTCATGTAGAATGGGAAAAGCTCACTCTGAGGCTGGGAAAATGAAACACTGGAATACTCTAGTTAATATTTGAGAGTAAGCTATTGGTTCAATAAACTTCCGATGAAATCTGAACCCTTCCACAATTTGATAAAGCACTTTTGGCTTATTCACCTTATTGCAGGCCCACTTTATACAGGTAATCCTTGGGCTACAATGGCAATTGTGACCGAATTTCCATTGCCAAATGATGCAGTCATAAAGCGTGACATCACGTGACTGCATTGCTTAGTGACAGCAATCCTGGCAGTCCTGGTTGCCATCGTAACCCCAGGACTGCATGGGTTGTTAAGCAAGGATCTGACATATCCACAAGAGCTACCTGGGCAGGATGTGTGTGTGTGTGTGCGCCACAGGTGGGTACTATAGTGCACAGGCAAGTCCTACAGATCGGTGGGTGCATGCTGTGGGTGGACACTACGGAGGACAGGTGAGCGGGAGGGTGCTACAGAGTATGGGCAGGTGGGCAAGAAGTGGGAGCAGGAGCAGCTTGTGACCTCCTGCTGACTTCCTCATTGACTTTGCTTGTGGGAAGCTGGCAGGGAAGGTTGCAAATGGTGATCACATGTCTGCAGGATGCTGCAACCATCGTAATTGTGAGCCAGTTGCCAAGTGCCCGAATCACAATCATATGACCATGGGGACGCTGTGACAGCCACAACTTTGTGGATTGGTCGATAAGTCCTCCTTGTTCAGCACCATCGTAACTTTGAATGGTTGCTGAACGAGTGGTCGTAACCCAAGGACTACCTGTAGCACTGTTGGGGATGTGACAGGACCATGCACATGAAACTCTGACGATCACTTTCCCATTCAATTTCACTTGTGGCCTACAATGGAGCAGCTTAAGACTGCACTCACAATTCCTCTGTACTACAGGCTCTACCGTCATATAAAGGCAGCAGAAGAAACTGAATCGCAAGATGATGATGATGATAATGATAATGATGATAAAGATAGTTCAGAAACTTCAGAAAGCTCAGAAAAATCAGAAGAGGCTGACCCAGCTTCTCCAGTAGTAAACTATCCAAGCCCCCCAGAAATCAACTTCCCCAGTCCTCCAGAATTCAACAATCCCAGTCCTCCAGAATTCAACAACCCCAGTCCTCCAGAATTCAACATCCCAAGCCCCCCCAGCTTCTAACGATGCCAAAAATTAAACTGTTTATAGTACAAAAACATTTGGAATTATTTCTCCTCACTTCTGCAACATCTCTCCTCCTGCAGCTTCACAGCGGCAGGGCAGCCTCAAGAGAGCCCACACATTTCAAGGTGGAAAACTCAGTCATGAATCAGGAAGTAACCAAGGGCTGATTGAGCCAAGAATACAGAGTGACCTAGCCCTTCAATCCTAAGTGCACAAGCTTGGCTCAGGAGAATCTTAGTGCTACCATGATACCTCCCTACATCAGACATCCCAAAACAAAGAGTAAGAGCTATGCTGTGTGAGCAAAATGCTTCTTTTCACTCCCTGGTATCTCCGGGTAGTTAGAAAAGATTTCAACCTAAAAATACAGCTCTTGTCATCCCCAGCCAGCTCCACCAGCCACATGGCTTTGGGTAACGGGGCTTCAGTCCGAGCCACTCTGGAGGCAACCACGTTGATAATGGTTGGCCCAAGTAGTATATGTGTAGCATACAAGTAAACCACATATAAATGGAGAGAGAGCTAGCATCTTTGAAGTCACAATCAGGAAGGAGAGTAGCCATCTTCCTTTGGTTGAGTACAAGGAGCTTCAAGACTTCACCACACCATCAAGGCAACTGTCACTTATGCCAAAGCACATTTCAAGCCATTATTCGATGCTTCTCCCATCTGAGTTCAAATCATAAAACTGAATCCCAAAGGTCAACCCCACATTTTCTTTCCAGGGGGCAAGCTGCAGAGCCATAGAATTTAGGATCGTCTGCAATAATTGACTATTGAACTGAAAGTTGCGGCTGCCTTCAGAGCAACCTCCAGCCACATTATGGCTTAGTGCAATCTTCGAACTTAGCCTTGGGGATTTATAAATAATAGCTTATAGTTTAGCATGTTGTATGAACCCTATCAACTTTCACACTATTCAGCAATCACTCTAAGTCTATTTTGGGTCCAGCAATAGGAGCACTTCTGCAATGCTCTTTATCGCAAACTTTTACAAAAGAAAAAAAAAATCCAATCAGAAGTAGCAAAAAAAAAATGTTGCCAGAACTTGTCTAGTTGTGTGCATGATATCTGGAAGCATGTTTTGCTCTGAGGAGACCTTTCACATTGATCTTCCTGAATCAAGGCAGATTTTTTTGGAAGTCGGCTATGCTTCTGCTTTGCTTGTATGGAGAGGACAACTTCATATCCTCAGACCAGACAGGCACTAATATCACTTACCTCACTGCTTATGTGGCAACACAGCCTTGGCTTAACCAGTCTCCTTCCCTGCTTCCTCCCCCCACCCCTCCAAAACCAAGAATTGTGTAAGGAGCACAGAGGAAAAGAGGAGGAAATCATTCAGGAGGGGCTCAGTTTGTCAAACGTACAGCATGCTCAGTTGGGCTGTTCTCTAGATATCCTGGACTGCCACCCAGCAAAGCCATAGGATGGGAAGGGCCAGTTTAAACAAAGGAGCAGCAGCCCACCTCTTCCTAAAGCAGCCATTTTCCATAAAAAGCAAACTTTCAGGGGGCCAAAGCCTTTGGGTGCCATAGAAGAATTTCCATTTATTTCATTTCATTAATAGCAATTTTTTTCTGAAGCATACCAGAGTAGGTTAGGAACTGGGGAGGGGGGAAATGGAAGGCAGGGAGACAGAGCCAAGGGGGAGGGTCACACACAGCTAAGGTCACTCCCCACCCCCAACAAATGACACAATGATTCAAATATACTGATAGGGGGGGGGGGAATCAACCCCAGCTTGATTTGTGGGGGGGCAGGGAGGCATAGGAAACACAATTCCAAGAATTTATTTGGAGGGAAGAGGGAGAGAGAAGAAAGACTGAACAGATTGTCCTGGATGCTAATGAGTGCCCCCCCCCCCCGCATCAAATAGGAATTTATAACAGCAGCAACACATCCACATACGCACACACTCACAAACACACACAGCCATGCCTCCCTTCCCCCACAAGCTGCTGCTGTAGAAGGGGTAAAAGTGACCACCCAACATCCCCCATCCCTCCCTCTGTTCCCCCCACCAGTCTAAAGAATA